GCCTGTGCCGGCACACTTACACACACTCACACACTCAAACATGCATGCACACTCACACACAGCTATAGACACAGTAATGTGCACACATGTGCACATCCACCCACACACCATACCCACACACACTGTCACACTCCTGATAGTGCACGCTGATAGAATACACTTGTGCACATGGCCATGCACACAAATGTAAGCACATGTGCACATGCACACACTTGTGAAAACACATATGCAGGTGCACACATGTACAATAACATACATATTCACAGATGCAACCCCATACAGACACACACACACAAGCACCCAAGACATGGAAATACACATACACAATGTAATCACATGCCCACACATAGTCACATATATGCAAACATCCATCACACTTGCACACCACACATGCACACATGTACACCCACACCTGTACACACACCCAAAGCACACGCACATGCACACATGTACAGATACATATGCTCACACCCAATGCACACATGCATTTGCTCACTCGCACACACTCACTCTACTACCCACACGCACATATGTGCTGGTGAGGCCCTGGGTTTGGGCAGGTCGTGGAGTCTGCCAGGCTCAACACCAGGTCTGGGGGTTCCGCTGCCCCTGCCCCCTGGGGAGCCCAGGTACTGGCTGCCTGGCTGCAGTGGGTACCTGTGGCTTGAGCCGGGTTTGGAGTATCCTTGAATTCTCACCAATAACTCTGCACTCTTCCCAGCAACCGCAGGAGGCTGGCAGGGGGCTGTCTCGTGGGCAGGGTGGAGATGGAGACAGAGGTGGCAAAGAGGTCCCGTCCTCCCGTCCCCTCACTCCAAGACCCAGAGGGACGATCCAGGGGCCCAGTATTTGTCCCGTGGCCTTCTGGCAGCCTTGGGGTGTCCCCCGGAGCCCAGTGCCTGGTCCCTCACAGGCCCCTCACGGCAGGTTCCAGGGCGACAGCCGCCCGGAGCAGGCCGGCTGCTACCACCACTGCGTGGACGAGAACATCGAGAGGAGAAACCACTACCTGGACCTGGCAGGGATAGAGAACTACACATCCCAGTTTGGGCCTGGTAAGGGACACCGGCATGCGGGCGGGTGCAGAGGGCCATGGCCAGACGGGTCGGACGCACCATGTCCAGTGCTGGTCACTTCCCCCGGGCTTTGTGGGGAGAAGTGGCCTTTACTAGACAGATCAGAGACTCTGTTTGGAGGAGGGGACATTAAAACATTGTCAGATTTAAAGTGATACATGCACAGATTGGTACAAAATCGAGTGTCTGAGGACTCAGCAGGTGATAAACAATAATGGCTCCCTGCTCCGTCAGCCCCGCCCCAGCTCTGCTGCCAACGTGGCCACTGTGGCTTCTGGTGACTCTTTCCCTACCCTGCCAACCGCCCATCGTTTCCCTCCTCCGGCTTCTCTCCCCTTCCCCTGCGAGAGTCCTCCACAGGTCCCCTCTGGGTAATTGCTTGGAATTCTTTCCTGCCCCAACAACCTTATTATCTCGTCTCTGTCACCATCTCTGTCCCCCAGCCCTCTCCCAGGGAAGAATTATTAGTTTTGAAGACCTACTGCAGAACCACTTAGCAGATAGGAGGTTCCATTCAGTGTTTCCCTTCAAGGCAGCGAGGGGCATTGGGGTGGGTAGCCCTGATAAAGGAGAGCGGGCCTTTACCATTCTTGGGGTTCTGGGGGGCTGGGGGGTAGCCCCCGCACACTGTAGGTGCTCATGAAACGTCCGTGGAATTGGTTTCCAGGCTCCCCGTCTGCGGTCCCAAAGTCAGAACTGCCCCCCCGCACCTGCAACCCCGCTCGATCTCGCTCCCACGAGCCAGAAGCCGTCCACGTCCCACACCGGAAGCCCCAAGGCGCGGACCCAGGCTCCTTCCACCTCCTGGACACCCCGTTCTCCAAGGTCTCCGAGCTCCAGCAGCGGCTCCGGGGCGCCCAGGATGGGAGCAAGCACTTTGTGAGGTCCCCCAAGGCTCCGGGCAAGAGCGTGGGTGCGGGCCACGTGGCCAGAGGAGCAAGAAGCAAGCCCCCTCTGGCACCTGCTGTCCCCGTGGTGTCCCCCTCGGCCCACCCGGCCACCAGTCCAGCCCTCCTCCCCAGCCTGGCGCCCCTCGGGCACAAGAAGCACAAGCACCGAGCCAAGGAGAGCCAGCCGGGCTGCCGGGGCCTGCAGGCGCCGCTGGGCGCAGGCGCGGTCCTGGGGCGGGAGCACGTGAGGGAGCTGCCCGCCGTGGTGGTGTACGAGAGCCCGGCCGGGCAGGTCCAGAGACACGAGCACCACCACCACCACGAACATCACCACCACTACCACCACTTCTACCAGACCTAGGCCCCAGGCCCCTGCCCAGGCGTGATCCCATTAATTATTGTTATTATGACGACGATTGTTATTAATAATTATTGCTACTCCACTAATATCTAGCTAGCCTTCCTGTAGAAGATCTATGGAAACACAGAAGGAAATGTTTATTTATATGTTGCAGGGACCGCGTAACACCCCCGAAACGACTCGGGGTTTGGGAAGGGGCCCGCAGACGGGGCAGGCTCCCTGGGGCTACCGAGCTGCGGGGCCCCTGAGGATCGGCCCACACCCTTCCCAGCGCCGCGGGAGCCAAAACTCCACCCCACCCCAGTCCCTCCCTCCCAGGAGAACACCCTTCCCCGTCCAGCTTCAGAGCGCCTCCGAGTCTCTGAGAGACCAGCAGCTGCTACCTCTTAGTCTTCTTCTGATTCGATTTTGCCCTTAACCGGTGGTGACATGCCACAAGGGATCTCAGTGGACTGCAGACACGCGACCTCCCTCCTGTTGTGCTTTTATGTCCCAACCTGGAGACCTTAGCGCTCCTTTCTGGAGTTTTCTTTCACGCCTTCCCAGTGGGATTCACAGCCTCACCCCCAAAAGCCCCCTCTTTCCTGCCAGGCACCACATGAGAATCCACTCCTCCTCCTCCTCCGTCCCCCTTCTCCTCGATTCTTTTGAAAGACAGATGTCCACATGTTTAAGGACCATCCCTGAAACCAGCCTTCGCATTTTGGAAACCACTAAAGAGAGAACCAGCCACGTAAACAAGTCGGTTTTCCCAGACGGAGCAGTCGGTGCGGTGTTGGCCGTGGGGACCTGGTGTCTCACCACTGGCACACACCTGTGCACCTGCGGGGTCCTCTGACAGCCTCCGTATCCATAGGGAGACGCTGCCTCTCCGTGTCCATGCACCGTCCTATAAGTGCGTCTCAGATCCCGCTGCTGGTGTGTGGGCATCTGGTCTACCTCTCTGGATGCTTCCTGAGACCAGACGTGAGCCTGGTGCCTACTGTGGGGCTGATGGCCATCAGATACAAAGAGCCACTTGCCGCATCGGAGGTCCTTTTTCAAAATTTGGGGTCTCTTCCAATTGTGGAGAGACCTGCTGGGGCACAGATGCTTGGAGGGGAATAGGGACTAGGGCCAGGGTCGGGATCCTGGGGCACTGTCCTCTACAGAGAGGAGTTTGCTGGCCAGGACCTGGGAAGAGGAGGAAAAGGACCACTGTCCACCAGGTGGGGCCCGGCCCAAAACATCACATACTCAGATTCGGCCCTTTGAGGAGAGTTTGGTGAAGGGGTTATTGACAGAGTGAGGACAAGCACCCGAGACACTGCAGAAGCCCAGGCTAGCTCCCGGGGCCACCCCACCCATGGGCCCGAGGGAGGAGGGGACATCCTTGGCAGAGTCGGGGGGCTGAGGGGACACCTTCAGGGGACATGACCGAGGGATGCTGGGGCCTTCCGGGGGCGTGAAAACCTGACCCACATTCCTGCTGCTCTGGGTTCTGTCCGGGCCCCGTGGCCGAGATCACCAGGAGCAGGGAGCCTGTGGACGTGGTCACGTGGGCATTCTGGAGAGGGGACAGTGAATCTGGACTCCGGCTCCTCCTTCCTGCTGCTTTCTCCTGTAGCTGGGGTCCTGCCTCCAGCGGGGGTTGGTGTGGTAGGGAGCAGCTGCGGTCACCCTTTCAGTAGTGCTTCTAGTTACTCGCGTCCCCGGGACGGAAGAAGACCACCCTCAGGACCACCCTCACAGGCAGGCGGTAGAGGCTCAGGCACCCCATCTGGGGCTCAGAGGGGTTAAGTGACTCTCTTGAGGCCACACAGTAAGAGGCGGGGCCGGGGCGCCATCTCCCTCAGAGTCGGGGGTACCCACTGGAGAGGTGAGCCCCCGGGGTCTTAGATTCCTTGCATGAGGCTGTGGGTTCTGTTCAGTTGGGACCCAACTCAAACTGAGCTGAATGTGACCAGACATGGGGGAGGCAGGGCTGGCTTTGAGAGGATGGCGTCCAGGTGTGACTGAAGCTGAGAGGTGTCCTTCCCTCTCTGGGACTTGGACCCTGAGACTAGCTGTGGTCCCAACTCTTGGCACTCGGGGTTCCAAGACCAAAAGGAAAGTTCTCTGATTGGCTGGGCTTAGATCAGGTACCCACCCCTGAACCAACCCCGTGGCCCCCTGGGTCACATGTCCACCGTGGCAGGGTCCTGGTCAGCACCGGAAGGCAGCAGGGGAGGAGTGCTGAGCAGAGGGGCACTAAGGACCCTCTGGCCCAGAGGTGCCAGGACAGTGACACTGGCCAGGGAGCCGGGGTCTGTGGTCTTGGAGCAGTTCCGTGGCCTCTTAGAGGAGGCCCCTGCTGCCTCCTCCCGCCCCTGCTGCCTCCTCCCGCCCCTGCCCGTCAGGATTCTGTGGTTGGTAACTCTGATGGGCCCAACTTTAAGAAATCATTTTAGAAACAGCAACGTGCACATGGTAAACAATTCAAGTAGTACCAAAACAGCAGACTGTCCCTGTGGGGACAAGTCCCTGTCCCATCATCCCAGCCACCCAGTCTCTGGTGCAGCTTCCTGGAGCCTCCAGGACCGAGCGTGCGGTAGGGGTTGTGAGCACAGACCCGGGTGCTGAGCTGCTGGGGTGGAGTCGGCTCTGGCTTCACAGCTCTGGCTTCAAGTGAAGCACTGGGCTTCCGTTTCCCTTCTGTGAGCGCTGTTGAAGGGGTAGCTGACCCTCGTTGCCAGAATAAATGCATTTATGTAAAATACCTCCCCACTCAAATTTTGTTAATTTTTAAAATTTTGCAAATGCAAAGTTTGAAACAGAGCGGGTACCAGAAACTGAGCGCACCTCCAGAGTTTGCAAACGCTGCCGATCTGTGATCTTTATTTCAGATCTATTTTTAAGAAAACCCTTCGGTGACTGCTGACCCCTCCGGGCCCCGCCCTTTTATTTTTACACAAGGTCTGGCATACTGTGCATGCTTCTGTCCTTTCCCCCTGCGACCTGACGTGTTTGGAGAGTCCCCACGCCCTCTGTCACTGATCCTGGTTCCCTTCTCTGGAACAGCTGCTTGGCCTCGTCTTGCTTAGAGGTGTGTCGCCTCCTGGAAGCCAGCATGTGGGCCGTGTCTCACCCTGGGCTGTGACACACACACTGCATGGAGGGTCTTCTGTGTCTTGTCTCGGTGTCCCCCCAGGAGAGCCCTGGTGTCGGAAAGTGACAGAAGGTGTCGACACGGAACTGCTGAGCTCAGGAGCGATGTGATTTCAATTTTGATGCCATTGGAAGTGACCTCTTAAAGTGGTCGTACCAGTTAGTTAGAAACTGAAGGGAGGAGAGAGAGAACGGGAGGAGGAGGTAGGAGAGAGTAGGAGCAAGAGGGAAGAGGAAAAGCGCGTGGACCTGGGGTCGGGTTTGGAGCACCTCCTGCAGGCTGGGTGGGCACGTCTGACCCCCAGTCCAGAGGACACTGCTGCTGCCCTGGCCCTGGGTTCCGAGCATGGGGCTCTCCTGGGGCCAGGGGCAGCGGTAGGGAGACAGGACTCCTGGCACATGGCACAGCTGGCTGGCAGGAAAATGCCATTTCCTCTGACATGTCACTGGGCACAGAGGACACCTGGCACGTTCAAGTAGGTCCCAGCAGGGAGGGTCGGAGAGCCCAGTGGCCACTACACAGATGTCCAGCCATGTGGTTCCACTTTTTTTTGGCAAAGGAAGCAGCCTGGAGCCATTTCTTTGGCCCCCTGGTCCCTGCCCCTTTCTCAGCATCCAGAGCTGGCACCGTGGCTGAGCAGGGGGTGGGCAGCCGCACACAGAGGTGGTCCCGGGAGGCCCGCGCCTCAGCACCAGTTGTGACAGAAGCCGTGCTAATAACCTGGGAGGCTGCGGGTGCTCTGGGGCCTGAAAGGGAGCCCCTAAAGTGTGCTCAGGGCCCGCAGCCCACGAGGCCCGCCCAGCACCCTCAGCGCCTTGCTGAAGCTGGGACCACTGCCCCACAGCAGATCCGGGGACATGCCCTAGGAGACCCCACAGCAGTCTGCGCTTGTCCGCTCCCGCTCCCCAGCCGGCCTCCTGGTGCCTGCCCACCTTGGCTTCCCGGCTCCGGGAGGGAGGGTCAGGGAGCCCAGTGGCCACTGCACAGATGCCCAGCCATGCAGGCATCTGTGTAGAGCTCACAGGCTCGGCGCTGAGTTTTGCAGAGCAGACAGATGAGTCAGCCACCTGCTCCTAAGTCCTAAAAGCCACACCCAGAGTGCCTCCCGTCATTACCTTTATCACCTCCCTTGTTGGGGGTCATTAGCGCCTCCCTTGGTTGTCTCCCCCTTTGTTGGGGACTAAGGTCTGGTCTTGGTCTATCACCTCTCCAGCCACCAGACCTGTGAAGCCACCCCTTCTCAACTGCGATTCTCCTGGTGATGAGTGAATTTGCCCACAGGGTCATCCTGCAGCCACATCTTCCTCTGGCATGAGAAGGGGGGTGAGTGGGACCCTCTTTCCAGGAGAAGCAGCTGAGGACGAAGAGGCAAAGGCTGCGTAGGTGCCTTATCCCCCCAGCTGGCCGTGTGGATGGCCCCCTCCCTCCACCTTTTCCCGTGATAGGAGAATCCTGGTACAGTTAGTCTACGAGTCTGGCAGAGGCAAGAGGGTCCCCTCTGGACGTGTGACCCCGGGCGTGACTTTGGCATGGAGCGGTCTGTGGGCAGTAGGTGGGGGCGGCGGACCAGGGTGCTCACACCGGGAATTCTCATCCTGTGTTTCCGAATCTCCTGGGGAGAGTTCTTTTGAAGACCAGCACCGGGTCCCACCTCTGTGGGCGCTGATTCACGAGTCCAGTGAGGCCCAGGCGTTGGGGCGTATCAGTCTCACGGTGACATCCCGATGGCTAAGACCCTTGCCCTTCCCCAGATGACCTCAGGACACCCTTTTAAGAAAACACCCAGCTCCCCGGGCGGTCAGCGTCTCCCAGAGAGTAGACACCCAGCCCACCCAGAGATCAGGTGGGTCTGGGGATGGGGACGCAGTGACAGTGCTTTAATAAGCTCCCTGTGCCCAGGAGACGGTGTTGCAGTGGGCCCATGGCCACAGTCCGAGGACCCCAAGCCCCTGTCCCTTGAAGCAAGCAGGATGGGATTCGGACTGCGCGGCTGGAATGTGGCGGGGAGCCGCGAGGCCCTGGCGCTCCTCCACGTGCTGGCCTCCTCTCTCCCCAGATGCTCTGCCGTTGGCCCCTGAGTAACCCACGTCTCCCCCTTATCACAAACCCGCAGGCACCCCAGGGAGCCAGAGTCAGGGAGGCTGGACGTCGTCCAGCTAGGTGGCCTGAGTGACCCCTGGTGTGGGGACCACCCAGTCCCCACCCTCCCTTGGCTCGGACAGAGACCTGGAATAGGGTGATGTGGCTGAGCTCTGGCGAACCTCCCTCCCCAGTGGCTCGCGGCCTTGGGGGCCCGCCACGGCCAGCGCTGGGGAGAAGCTTGGCACAGCCGCCAGGGCGCCCACCTGGCTGCGCCGCACGTCCAGGCTTATGGGGTCCTGCCCTGCCACTCTGGGGGTCTGCTTTGGGGGTCACCTCTGCACCCCGTTCAGAGAGCCCTTCCCAAGCCCCCATCAGCAGAGAGGGGCAGTTGGGGAGGACATTAGAGACTTGGGACAAACAGCCTGGGAACACGCACAGCGAGGATGACCGGGACCCCCCACCCACCCCTCGCCGTCTCTGAGGCCACAGGGTAACAAGCGGAAGAGGACCATGGCCTCAGGCCCCCCTGCACTGAAAGGATGGCTTCTGGGTCCCCCTGGGCCCCCGACCAGCTCCCCTAGATGTGCCTGATGGGAAGATTCTGGGTGAATTCATCAAGACTATCTCCACGGTCTCTCCTCTGCAGCGAGGGCCGGGAGCCATCTCATGTGCTCAGACAGCGGGTGGCGGTGGGCGGGGGGATCAGAGCCCTGGTTTGAGGGGTACCTTCCCCCTGGCCTGCAAAGCCCTGCAGGAAGGACCCCTGGGGGAGGCTGCTCTTTCCTGAGGGTGTGGCATACAGTAGGTGGTTAATAAGTGGAAGAGACGGAATGGGAGGGGAAGGAGGTGGGAGGGACGGGGTGGATCAATGGATCGTGGGGTCATGGCGCCTTCCTGCCTGCAAGGCCTTGATCTAGGGTTTCACGGAGCAGGAACGTTTCAAATGCAAGTTTGGAAAAGCAGCACCACCCCGCCGACTCTTGATTTTGTTAAATAAGGACACGAAAGCAAAGAACAACTCGCAGTCTCTACTTTTTCTTTGGTACCTGGGATTGAACTCATGGCACTCGGCCACTGAGCCCCGTCCCCAGGCCTATTTTGTATTTTATTTAGAGACAGGGACTCTGGGGTCTCAAGTTGCTTAGCGCCTCGCTGTTGCGGAGGCTGGCTTTGAACCCGCCATCCTCCTGCTGCCAGGACCCCAGGAGAGCCCCACCGCGCCCGGCTTATAGCCTCTTACCGTTTAGAGAAAAACCTCATTAAAAAAGGAAGGTCTGATTAGTTTTATTTAAAAAGAGAATGTCCTCATTGTGTTGTTCAGTGTCCCCCCACCCCCCATTCGGTCAGAATCTGGTCAGGGTCATTGTGCTTTTGAACAAGGAACTGGATTGGGCCAGGATGACTCTGGGAGAGATGGGTGACCGGGGCCTCGGGAGGGGAGTGGCCCAGATGATGACGTCCCTGGGCTCTGGGCTCAGCCTGGTCCACTCTAAGGTCCCTTTCCAGCCTGTGGCCTCAGTTACCTGCTGAAGCGTCTGGAGTTGGCTTCCACGGCCCCTGTCACTGGTCAGGCCTGCAGAGGCCACGGTGGTCCTGCTCGTATGGGTGGACCCAGCGGCAGCAGGCCGTTTGGGTCCTGTGTGCTGGTCCAGGGGTTGACCACGTCCCTTGGTGCATGGCAGAGCGGTCAGGGCAGGGTCGGGGCAGGGCTGGGGCCAATGTGCCCAGAGCCACTCTTTCCAAGACGCCACGGGGTCTGGGACTCAGGCCCACCCCTCCCCTTCCCGCTGCCCGCCCACCGGCCCACCCCCCCCAGGAGCTGGGGCCACTCTCGTTCGGCCCCTCGACACGTCACACGGGACCTATCTGGGGCTTCCAACGCTTTAAATGAATTTTTGAATCCGAAGTTCTCGCCTGAAAATCTAGGTTGTTTTTACTTGTAAAATTCAGAAAATAAGATCCATTTCCAGGGTCACGTTCATGAGAACTGTCTGCAAGACCCAGCCCCTTCCTCCTGTCCACCTGGGTCCTCCTCAGCCTGGCCCCGAGGCCTCTGGGTCATGGCCCCTGGGTCCCTCACCGCTAAGCCTTTGGGGGTCAGGGGCAGCGATTTAAAACGGCCAGTTCAGGGGAGGGTTGTAGACACAATGGCCAGGGGGGTGCTGGGGACATGGGAGGACTTCCGTGGGAGGGCTTTGGGGAACGCCTTGGGGTCCCCGCCTGGGTGAGGCCTGCCCCCCGCCCTGCACAGGCACACGTGGGGGAAAGAGTACCACCAAGGACACCTGGAGTCCCTGAGGCAGTGCCACTGGGTGAGCTGCTCACTGTGGCCGGTGGCTCCCGCCCTGAGCCTCAGCTATTTCCCTGTAGGTAGGTCTGATGAGCCTACGGGGCTTCAGCTCCAGGGTCTTTGGAGGTTTGATCCAGGCAGGAAATGTGGGAGGAGGTGCCGGCCCGTGGCGCTCCGTGGACGGACGCCCCGCCACCTTGGGAAGGGAGCAGAGGGACTGCTGCTCTGGGAGGCTCAG